CCTCCTGGCAGCGCAGCGCCTCCGCTGTGCCCACGAAGCAGCCCAGCTCGTCCCCGCAGCAGATGCTGGGCCCAAAGCAGCGACCTTTGCCCTCGGGGCCGCAGGGGAGGCACTGCGGGGAACCGAGAGGGTGAGCGGGAGGGGGCAACCGGTGAGGATGGTGGAGGACCCCAAGAGGCAGATTCTGGGGTCCAGGGATTGGGAGTGTGCGTGATACCATGGGAGCTGCAGGTACCGGGGTGCTGTCTGTGCCTGACACTGGTCAAGAGCTTGTGAGCAGTCTACTAAACTCAGGTTTTCCGTGGACTGGAGACAGCTCTCAGTAATAGCCCTCAGCATCCTCCCCTGCAGTTATTGGAGGGGCTATAGGAGCAGGTCATCTTACTCTTCAGCTCTGGGTCATTGCAGTTGTGCACCCCTTAGTCATCTGCCCACTCCATCCTCATTCCAGACCTTCCTCCTGCCCCATTACTCAAGCTTGGTCCTTATGCCTTGTGACCCTCTGGATCATCCAGAGCACATCCTGGCCCGTCATCCCATTTTCTGGCCTTGCCCTTGCAACCCACCACTAACACTCAACAGGGGCAACTCTCTGGTCACCAAATTATGGCCAGTTAGGTGGGTGTCAGGGGTGTGAGCTCTAAAGGAGGGCAGGGACACCTGATTCCTCAAAAGGAGAAAAACCATCTGCCCAGCCTCGCTTATTCTACAGTTCAACATGGAGCCTCCTGTGACCTGGGTAGAATTGAGTATGGATATCAAATTTCCATCAGCTCTGCCACAACTGGAATAGAAAGGAATCTGCTGAACACACAACACTAGAGAATTGGGCTAGACACCAAGCAGAACTTCCTTACAGGATGCTTGGGTGGTCCTCCTGCTCAGGCCAGCTCAGATCAATGGCCATCTGTGTGTGGGGTCAACCACCTGTGGCTGAGAACAGCTGGTACTGGGTGGGGAAGGCCTGGGATTGCATGTGGGACAGAGCCTCTGATCCTCCAGCTAGTCTGGATGAGAGAACCCCACAGGCTCAGAGACCTCCCCACCACATTCTTCCTGATCCAGCCCCAAGCGCAGTTACTGGGGAAGCATCTCTTTCCTACATTCCTTGTCTAGTTAGGGTCTATGTCCAACAGCCCCTTCTGCTCTTCCCAACTTGCCCAGCAGCCTGGTCCCTTCTGACCTAGCCTGATGGCCCTTCTGCCCAGCCTTGTCTCTCCCCTTAAGACTGGCTTCTCCCAAGGATTCCCTCCTTCCTAGCCCCTACCAGTCCTGGGGACTGCCCACTCCCAGCAGCCCTGAGATGGGCCATGGTGCTACCTGTCTCAGCTCCAGGTCGGACATGGCCCTCTTGCCACCCCTCGGGCAGTTCTGGAAGTAGCAAGCAGAGGTGAAGGCCAGCAGGCCGAGGAAGCAGGCGGGCAGCATGGTGTCGGGCATCCTGGTGCTCGCAGTACAGCAGTGTGTAGAGCTGCTGGGCTGGCTGTGTGCTGCTGCCTTGGCAGGCTGCCTATTTATGTCCGCAGGTGTTCCTTCAGAGGTGACGTGACTGCCATCCCCCCTCCCCAGTGGCTCCCCAGGAGCCCTCAGCAACCAGGTCCCAAGCCATCAGCCGTGATTCATGTGTCTAGGGACACACGTGGGACTCAGTGCAGAAGATGGTGGAGGAGGGAGGCAGGCCACTGGAATGTCATTGGCCATAGTGTGACAGGAGCTGCCGCAACTGTGAATACAACTCTCTAGTCTCTGGGAGAGGGACAAACTGGGGGTTACCCAGAGACCATCTGAGCACTCTGATTGCCCAGAGGAGACTGGGGGTCAAAAGACCCCTTCCACTTAACACAGCCCTTATAGAGGGGGAAGAGAGGCCCAAGGGGCTGGTTTGCTTGGAGCAGGGTAAGGCTCCAGACAGGAGTGGTGATGCAGGGGATAATCACATTATCCCTGCAAAAGGACAAATTCCTGGGAACAACAGAGCAATGGTGGCCAGGTTAGAGGACTTGGGAAAGGGAATTCCTATCTTCAACCTCTTGAGCAAGGCAGCCACAGTCATGGAGTCAAGGGAAGGTTACAGAACACAGGGCATTGTTCTCTTGGTGATAGTGGGGTGGCAATCTTCTGGTGGAAGCTCTGGACACTCCTACCACACCAAGACTCTACAGAGCAAGGTAAAGGGACTAAGACCCTGAGACTGTGGGCCTTGGTGGCAACTTGGTGACATGTCCCCCATCACAGTCCTCCCAATCAGGAACATGGGTTGGGGAGCTACTGTGGGGAGCAAGAACTCCAGAGTCTGTAAGGTCCACAGGTGCAAGGAGAGCCCCATGGGAACTGACAGCCTCCTGTTCCAACCCCCATCAAGACCCTAGGGCAAGTTCCATGTCAGGCCAGGGTGGAAGTGGGATCCTAAGAACTCTGGGCCTCCAGTGAAGGGAAAGGAACCACACCAATGGACCCAGCCCAGGAAGAGAACTTTGTGTTCCTAATCTCAGGCTGGCAGATATAAAGGGGTTGAGGCCTTCCTCCCCCCAGGCCACTGGTGTGCTGCCTGCTGCCCTGGTCTTGGGCCCAAGATGGCCACCATGCGTCTCAGGCTATGTACACTCCCCAGCTCTCCCAGCCCCCACAGGCTCTTGGCTGCTTCTTTAAGCACTGGGGGACTTCAAGTAAACTCCAGGCGGTGGTGTGGAGTCCTCTTCCCTGCTAAGTGTAGCCATGAGGGTGTTTCCCACACCCGCCATCAGAAATGACCCCTTAGGGTCTTGAAGAGACTTCAAGAGGAAGTGCTGAGCAGTTCTTATCTCAAGGACATGGGAAAGCACTGGAGCATCCTGATTTGGGCAGGTCACTGACTTCTCTGTGCCTCACTTTCCTCCAGTGTAAAGTAAGAAGAGCAGTAGCCACTGCACAGTGTTGTTGTGGGCACTGAATATTTAATATGCAAAAGTTTGAAAAAAAAAAGTGCTTGTGCCATTGTGCAGTTAATTAATAGTAGTATTGTATCATTAATGGCCTTCTTAAAAACACAAAAAAATTTTTCCAGACAGAGCAGTTTTCTAAGTCACCCCGGGAAGAACATTTTCATTCCACCTGTGGCTGGAAACAAGCTGGGTTATAAGCCATTGTCTGAGGCTCTATGGGTTGTAAGACAGGCCAAGGTCGTGTGTGCCTTGCCCCATACCTTACCCACTCTGCCTTTTGGGTTCAGGTTACCATCTGAAAACACATGAAGCCAAACTGACTGAGGGGCACAAGCCCTGGCACTGGCCAGGACATCCCTGTTTCCATCAGCCATGCCTGTCGGGGTCATCATTCTTAGACTGATCTCACACACCAGACCCCATTGAAGACCCCAAACTCCTTCTAAGTACAAATAGATGCCAGAGAGCCTGCTTCCCCCAATACCCAATACTCAGAGCCTTCAGTGAATGGGAAAAGTCTCTTTACTGTTGACTGATGACATTTCAAATGTAGCATCTCACATGTCATATGGACCTCCCAGAAAATCCACATTCCTACTACACTTCCCTTGTAATTACACCTCCCAAAACGACTTTTCCATGCTTTCTGCAACCTTCTATTCCCTATGCCTCAATTCCTGATGTTGATTCAGATATCTTTTAAGAAGGGAAGACAGCTCTTTAACCCCTCCCCATCACATGTACCCTCTATCCGCCATCTCCTTCATACAATAATGTCATGAAGGTTAGAGCAGTACTACCAGTTTGGTTGCAATCACACCCTTCTGAAACAAGTCATGTGGTTAATATGATGACCCTTCTATCTCAGAACAACTTTTTGTGTTCCCTTAAGTTAGTGATTGCCTTTGTTTTTCATCTGTGGCCATCTGCCATGCTAATCCACAAATCAACATATTCTTCAACTCCATCAATTGAGATTTCTGCCCACATCAACCCACTGAAACTCTTCTTCTTTTTTTTCTTTTTAAAGAGAGAGAGCGAGAGAGAGAGAATTTTAATATTTATTTTTTAGTTTTCAGCAGACATAACATCTTTGTTTGAATGTGGTGCTGAGGCTCGAACCCGGGCCGCACACATGCCAGGTGAGCTCACTACCGCTTAAGCCACATCCCCAGCCCCTGAAACTCTTCTTAGCAAGGTCATAAGCTTGCTGCCAGATGTGGTAGGCAGGACTAGGTCCTCACTGTCCATATTCTTTGTGCAGCATTCAACATGGTTACCCTGGCCCATTTCTAAAACACATTTTTTTTGGGGGGGGGCTCTAGTGAAACTACCCTTACCTGATTTTTCTTTCCTAATACTAGGCACTTCTTCCAGTGTCCTCTTCTGCCTCCTCCTTCTATATGTTCCATTATCCCAGGACTCAGTCATCCAATCCCTTTACTTTTCTTTTTTGAGGTGATTTTATACACTTTCTATAAGCTGATGATTCCCAAATCCTTATCTCCATCCTGGGCCTCTCTCCCAATTATCAGACTTGCAGTCACTCAACTGCCCAATGACACCTCCCTATGGATATCCAATGGGCCTCTGAGACTTAACATAGTCAAACTGGGCTCTGGATTCTCTGCTGCCCCCTGCATCTCCCAAGCTTCCCCAACTCTGCCATCAACCACCATCCCACCAGCTGCTCCTCCCACACCTGACCCTCACCCTACTCACCCTGCTCCTTCTCTTCTCTCACCCTTGTCAGTCCTACCTCTCACATGCATCACAACTCTGACTGCTTCTTGCCACTCCTGCTTTGGGAACTCCCAACTTGTCATTTTCTTGTCCTAGAGGGCTTTGCTCCCCTCACAATACTGGATTGGCTTAAATGACTTCTCTTAAGAGCAGCCTTCCCTGACTCTCCTGTCTAGAGCATCCCTCACTCCCACCTGTCATTTTCTCACTTGGGTCTATGTTAATAAATCACATGGTACTGACAGTTTGCTGTTCATGATTTATCTTTTCTCTCCCAGTCCCCCATCTCTTTACTTATATGTCTGTATGGCCTTTATGAAAACCCCAAAGCAGACAGAACTCCATCCTTCATGTTCAATACTGTAGCCCCACTCCTAATAGTGTTTGCCACATGGGGGTTTTCAATACCTTATGGCAAGAAGGAAGGGTAGTAGGGAGAGAAGCCCTGAGTATCAACCTCAGGTCTCCAGGGAGTTGCTGGGTGACCTACAGCCAGTCACACATTTTCCCAAGCTTACTTCCTTGATGTAGTAACCCCACTTCCTACCTCACTGACATCTTATGGGAATCACATAAAAGGTTAAGATTTTCTATGATCCTTTCATAATAAAATGTTGCAAGCCTCCCAGTGAAACCCCCAATCTCAGAATATTCTTTAAAATACTCCTTTATCCTTAGGCCAGGTTGTCTAAGAACAAGTATGACAGGGTGGGCCTCATTTTCAAGTGGACTGTTCTGCTTTCGGATAGACAACTTCCTCTTTTTTCCATGTTCCAGTTGTCTTACCTGAGGACCCTGGGTCACTGAGGCACACAAATGCTCTGTATTTGTGCAGACCTAAACCAAGGAGAGCAAAAGTTGTAGGAGCCTGAGAACCACTTCTGCGTTAAAATGAGGAGGGCACCTTAAGCCGGGATAAATATTTGAGAAAAATGCTGGACCCCAGTCCCACAGGTATGAAACGGAAGAGGACAGCTATCTGTCCTCAGAGCACATCTCAAATAGACTGAAGAAAAACATAAAATAAAATCGGGTTGTGGGAAGGAGGAAAAAGATCAGAATATTTATCAACACTCTTAAGTGGATTGTTTTAAGGTTAAAAGAAATCAGAAGTTATAAGTCCTTAGTAATTGTTAATATGCATTGCTGGGCGTGATAGTGCATGCATATAATCCAAAAGGAAGCTGAAACAAAAAGATCTCCCGTTGGGGTCAGCCACAGCAATTTAGTTAGACACTGTCTTGAAATAAAACGTAAATATGGGCGGAGGTCTTGGCTCAGAGCTAGAGCACTCGCCTACTGGGTTCGATCCTCAGTACTACATAAAAATAAAAAATGAAGATATTGTGTTTGCCTATGACTAAAAAACAAATATTTAAAAAAAACATAAATAGCTCAGCTGTAATCCCCCTCCCCCAGGATTCAATCCCCAGTGCCGAGAAGGAAAAAAAAAAAATCTTAACAATAACCCAAGTTTAAAGCAAAATAAAGGAGGAAATGCAGGTTTGGTAAAATCTTCTATATTGAAACCTTGTACAGCGGCGAATTGGTTGTATTCGGGAATTTTCATCAAAAAGCTGCATATCCCGGTGGCCAGATCTGCTGCATTCCCTAGGGACCAGGAGCCCTGACCTTGCGGGTGGGGGGTCAGGTAGATGAGGACAGATGTTTCCTTTGCTGGACTGGGGAAGAGTCAGTCCTGCATTCATCCCTCTTCACCCAAAAGCAGCCACAAAAGGCGTCTCCTGGGCGGGGAGATTGGTACTGTTAGTCAATAGTTGAGACTAGAAAGTTTGAGGGCCTCGGGGACCAAACCCGCGGAAGCGCGGCGGCCGGGGTCGCCC